TGATATGGCTGGTGACATTGATAATTGCAAGAGTACCACATGTTATGTCTTTACATTAGGTGGGACAACAATCAATTGGGTTTCAAAGTTATAGAAAATTGTTTCTCTCTCTATTACAGAGGCAGAGTATGTTGCTATGATAGAGGCTAGTAAGGAGCTAATATGGTTATAATGGGTCCTAGAAGAATTGAGTCAGAATGATGAGAAGAGCATTTTGTATTGTGATAACCAAAGCACAATTCACCTAGCAAAGAACCCAGCCTACCACGCTATGACAAAACACATAGAAGTTCGATACCATTTCACATGCTCAGTTTTGGAAAAAAAAGTTATAGCTCTCGAGAAGATTCAAGGGAGTAAAAGTCCAGCTAATATGTTTACAAAAGTGGTTACCATTGAAAAATTGAAGTTATGTACAACTTCAGTTGGACTTCTCACTTGAAGAAAGAGAAGTTGATGCTGCTGCTGATGGAAGTGAAGAATCAAAGACATCTGTTGAATTAGTCTCCAAGTGGGAGATTGTTGAGATTTTAGAGTCAAATTCAATCCAAATTAGTATTGGGTTAGGACATGGGTTTTCCTAATATGTTTTTATGCAGAATTGTTTTTCCTTTAGATATACAATTAGGAATAGGAATATAATTGTATTAGGAATTAAAATAAAATTCCTATTAGAATATGAGATTTGAGTCCTATTAGGAATAGTATCCCATGTATTACCTATAAAAATGGGTTAAGTCTTGGAGTTAAACATCACAAAGTAAGAGCCACTAAAGAGGGTTTAATAAGTGAGCCAGTTTATGAGGCTTGTGAAAGACACTTGTAATTTTTTTCTTCATCTTCATAGTGAAATTCCATAACGACAAAGCGGATGTAGCTCTCATATGGAGAGCGAACCACTATAAATCTTGTGTTTTTGTGTGTGGTTATTTGTTTGTCCTTTATTCGCATTCTTTAATTTTTGCTTTCATGGAGATTTAGGATTTGCTAGCATCTAATTAAATCCCCACAACAGTTTACATATTTATTGTTTAATTTTTTTAAGATTGTAAAGATAACTTGTGATTAGAAAAAAATGTGAGAACAGTCATTTTTGACAATGAATTTGTAAGAATAAACGATGAAGTTGTAGCAGTTAATAATAATGGTCAACAACTGAGTATGATTGTTTTAATATTGATTAGCATTGATTTTACCAAAAGATAACAATAAATTTATCTACAAATAATTTTTGTATCCTAACTATGTGATATTGGATTATTTGGCAACATCTTTTTAATTAAAAGACGAGGCAATGAACTAATTTAATTATAGGATAAGCTAAATCACTTATCTCATCATTCTATAATTAAAGAGATACTGATAAATCAATGACAAATATTCCAGTCATATTGTAGTAAAATCCTATATTTGCACTATTAAAAATACTCTAAAAGTATCTCTCATAAGAAAAAAAAAAAATTAATCAAATCCTCAAATTAAATCACTCCTTAGTAAGATCCATCACCATTACATGTAAAAAATCATAAACGTGTGTTAAGAAAATCAAAATACAAACGCAATGATTGTATCTATAATTTTTAGCAATTTTAGAGTATCATATCATGTAAAAATTACTAAATTAATAAAAGTTAAGCCATATGGCTGTGTTTGTTTTGTTATTCATATCATATTCTATTCCTATCATACCCAAAATACGTATTGGTTTCAATATTCTCAAAATCCAATCACATTCTATTCAACTATTTTAAACTTTATAGGTTTATTAATATTGAAAAATTAACAAAAAACATCCCCACCCACCCATCAAATGCCAGCTATCATCATTGGAGAGTGGCCAGAAGTCACCGAAATGGTGCACAACCAGTTGGATTTGGCCGGTCGGGCAACGATCTAACCTTTTTCGAAGGCCAGATCTTTGGCCACATCTGGCCGTAGATCCAGTCTTTTTCGGCCAAATCAATGGTGGATTTGGAAATTGCAAACCTTCTATATATAACAAGCATTTTATAGCCCTATAAATTAGAAATTGAAGTTTACATAAGAGAAATGAAAAAGTGGTAATAATATTTCAAATTGAAGAAACGAAGGATAAGCTAATTAAGATGAAAATGGTATAATCTCAAATTAATCATCGAATAAAGAGCATTTTACTATGAATAACACTTTGGGTACTAATGGATGGGTACTAATTTGTGTACTAACTAAAGCATAGTACCCGTACTATGTGCATAGTACGGGTACTATGCTTTAGTTAGTACACAAATTTGTACTCATCCATTAGTACCCATAGCATCACTCTTTTACTATAGATGATATAATAGTAATTCGGAAACCCAGTAAGCTGATGACTTCTACAAACAAGTTGAAGTTGACCTTTGATTTTTAAAAAGTGAAAGTCAAACAAACCTTAGAAATTAAACAATAATAAGGCTGGAAATTTAATTAGGAGTTTAAAATTAAAGTCCTCCCGTATGATGCCGCGCACATTGGAATCATCACACATAGAGTTAACGATTTTTTCTCACCCGAATAATGGTTTAATGATACATTTCTACTAATAGACTTTTAAAATATCACTTTATTAACTAAATTTTTAGTCTGATGGTGAATAAAGAGCAAACTCGATCCAAACTGTTGAGGTTTTTGAAGAAAGGAGACCAATGATTCTTTTGGTGATGGAAAATTAGATTTTTGTAGTTGAGATTGATCAGAATTTAACTTGAGAGAGCGGCTGCACACACCTTAATCGCTCAATCGCCGGCAATTGACAAGGTCAGTGGAAGTAGGGTTTAAGAGGTCTTGGTCAGTGATGATTGGGGAAGATAATGGTGGTGGCGTTGGGTCGCAATGATGCCAGAATAAAAAACAGAATATAAATTTGGATAGTAAAATGGTATTTTAAAAAGTCAGTGAGTGTAAAAGTGTTATTAAACCATTATTTAGGTGGGAAAAAGTCTTTTGCTTTCACACATATGGATTGAGTTAATTAATTATTATTCTTCTCACATCTTATTAGACTTGAATATTAATGTTAAGCTTTTACCTATTAACTTAAAACAAATATTAGTTTAAACTATTTGGTAAACTGGTAGTAACATAACAAATGAAACCGTTGTGTTTACCTTCTTTGTGGATATTATGGAAGCATTTGTTGCTATAGCCTCTACATCTCCTGTTGGATTTGAACTGTGCATCGAAGCCTTTTGCTGTGAAGAGTAAAGAGTCCACGAGGATCAACAATCTCTCGAGCCATTAGCTCCACATGATGAGAAGCAAGACCTCCACAAGAAGTGCCATATATAATACTATCCAAAGACTCCTCCACAAGTAGAAGATCATTGGTGTTGACTATGATATGCATGAGATAACTGGAGAGCTAGCATGCCAAAACATTTCAGAGAATTTTGAAGCACGATGAAGGGTCGAACTAATCACTGTGGCGAGAACACGCAGCGAAAGTTGCTTGTGTTTGCTGCAAATATACTCAAAATAAGCAAAGGGACATAAAAATATATTTTCTTTGGGAAACAGAGAGATGCATACAAGTTACATTAAGTTTAGAAAATGTTGGAGCCTATTGACTCCACAATTACACAATCAGAATATAACTATAAAAAGCATGATATATGAGAGAAGTTTGATCTTACCCTTCTTGTTTACTCTTTCTGTGAATCAAAATCCTCTTACATTCTCTAACTTCTTCATTTAGTATATTCTGTGAATTGAACTTCTCTTAGATTCTCCAGACTCTTGAGAGAGATCTTCATTTCTCACAATCTCTCATTGTTGAACTCCTGTTGTTTTTTGGTAGACGATGATGATTTTACTAGGAACAAGCAGAGGTCACTGCAATCAAATAATTAAAATTTCAGAACATCAAGAACGTAATATCCAAAACCTTATCACCATATCAAGAACATCAATAATTGTACTTACTCCCATGGCTTCTTTTCAAGCGCTTCGATGTAGAAACTTCCCGATGCAAGGAGCTCTTCCTCTGTGTTAAAAATTTCTGCCAGTTTTTATAAAGATCTCATAGCGGTAAAATTTGGCAAATCAATAGACTCACGAGCTCCACTGTCCAGTATGAACCTGGAAAAAAGATAAATATGTACTTTATCCAACTGTTGCAACTGCACCACAGCTGGCATCAAGGTTAGAACAGAGAGAAATTAATAGGATTACTTTACAGAAGCAACTGCATATCATAATCTTGGAAAAAAAAAAAAAAAAAAAAAAGCAAGCAGCCATATCTAATTTTAAACCCTTCTTCACTTTTCTATTGCGTAGATCCAAGTCCTATCATATTACCTTTGGTTTGCTACATTCTTCATGCAGAAATCTTCTCTGATCTACACATAACTGCAGATCTTCCCCCAGCTAACAAAATCCTCATTTGATCTCATTTTAATTGTTGGCTATTGAAGATCAATTCCAGCTCTAGGTTCTAGGTATAAAGACAAAAAAATTAAAGCATAACATATATCTAAACTAAAAAAATAACAAAGCCAATATTAAAAAAAAAAAAAAAAAAAAATCACATCCATACTCGACGATGTTCTTTGATTGATTACGCTGCATAGACCTGGATCTGAAGTTTACTAGTTGATTCTCATGATTAGGATCACTGCTCGGTGCAGAATCAGTTGAGAGGAATATTTATAGAATGTGAACCTCTGGTGATGAAATATTTTGTGTTTGGTCATAGAGAGAATCGGCAACACTGTCATCCTTTAGGAACAGAAAGACAACGCAATTGTAGCAAAGGCTAATGGAAAAATCATGAGTTGTAATTATACTTGACACCCAAAAGTGTCATGATATAGGAGCCAAAGAAGCGATCAATGGACCCAGAGAAGACAATTTCAACAACAAGAAGCTCCCTTCAGCCTTTGTTTTCTTGCACTGGGTCCTCCCTTTACAATATGAGGAAAAACAGTAATGAGAAAAGTAAAGGCCGACAGGAGAAGTGCAGCGAGAAGGCAATTGGACTACTTTTTCCAAGCTGATCGAGCGCAACGGATATTGCTTCAGTCATAAACAAAACCAACACCACCGCAGGTTTCTGGTGTTTAACCAGAAACTCAAACCCTGTTATCATGAGAATAAAATATGTTAGTGAAGAACAATAAATAGAAGATAATGAAGCTAAAACTCAAAATTCTGACTTTTACCTTGCAGATGAATGAGTAAATGAACCAGTTATCAAGCTGCATATGTTCCACAGAAGATCAACCTTCTTTGGTTGTCCATGCTCGTAACCTGCCAAACACATTGTTAATTAACTTGAAACTATTACATTCCTATTCAAATACTTTTATTTCACCAAACACCTTAATATATAACAAAATTATACATATATAAAAATTAACAGCATAATACTTTTGGAGAAGTTGAGAAAACACAAACCTACAATTCTTCTATTTTGATAGGGAAGGGTTTGGCAAATGAAAAATATTACAGTGCGTGTTTGGCTTACTATTTTATCTGTATTTTAGACGATTTTGAAATTGGTTTGTTTTATTACTTGAAGAATCCAACTCTGATAATAGAATCCTGACACCAATCTGACATTGACCGTTACATTTTTTTTTTCTTTTTTTTTTTTTCACTGCATCCTCACCATTTCACTTTCTTTCCGTGCTTCAGTTCTCAATCAATAAACGTTTTAGTGCTTCATTCTCAATATCCATCACCACCATTTCAGTCCCATTTCAGTTTCTGATAATCCATTACCAGGTTCGATGCTTCACTTCCCAGTTTGCATTACACCATCTCCCTTTCTAGTTTCCAGTACCAGCACGTGAACCCCCAATGCCCTGTGTCACAAACTCACATTGTAACCAACGTGAACCCACCGTCAACCCGGAAAACAGCCCACCCCGCCTCCACCCACAACGACCCTATCTCTACCCAACCCAGCCCACCCCGGCCACCACGACCGAGATCTACCCAAACCAGCCTACCGAGCCCCACGACCCCAACCAGCCACCGAGCCACCACGCAGCCACCCCGAGCCACCACGCACCGCATCTACCCCACACAAGCCCACCCAAGCCACCACGCACCCCAACCCAGCCCACCGAGCCACACGCAGCCACCCGAGCCACCCGCACCCGATCTACCCACACAAGCCCACCCAAGCCAACACGCACACCACGACCCACACACAGCCCACCCGAGCCACCACGCACCACCACGACCCAACCAGCCCACCCACGAGCCACCACGCACCACCCCAAGCCACCACCCACCGATCTACCCCACACAAGCCCACCCAAGCCACCACGAGCCACCACGACCCAACCCAGCCCACCCGAGCCACCACGCACCACCACGACCCCAACCCAGCCCACCGAGCCACCACGCACCACCACGACCCCAACCCAGCCCACCCGAGCCACCACGCACCCACCCGAGCCACCACGCACCACCACGACCCGATTACCCCACACAAGCCCACCCAAGCCACCACGCACCACCACGACCCCAACCAAGCCACCACGCACACACCACGACCCAACCAAGTCCACCCAAGCACCACGCACCACCACGACCCCAACCCGGCCACCTCGAGCCACCACGCACCCACCCGAGCCACCACGATCTCCATCAAAACACACCCCAATCTCCATCAAACCCACCTCATATCTGCGTAAAGACACCCACCATTTTGAAACTGAATTTTTTCTTCAAAATAAAATGCTTTGTTTTGTCTAATAAAACAAACCCAAACCCACACATATAAAAGCAATTGGTTTTTTCGGCTTTTAATTGGGTTTTTTTTTGGGGCAATTCGTTTTATTGGGATTTGTTTTAATTCGGTTTTTATTGATTAGGCTATTAGCATATAATTGTTAATTCGGTTTTTATTTTATTCGGTAATTGGACAGGATTGTTTTAATGGGTTTTTGTTTTGTTTGACAGCTTTTTAATCTCGTGTACACACGGATCCATTTAATGTATTTGGATGTTGTATCTGACCAGAGAAGGGAAAGAGACTCACGACGTATCCAAATCAATTTGTAAGTTTCCGTGTATCTATTGTGTTTCAAGACAGAGCCGCTATTTTTTCAATTTTTTTTTTGGAAATAATTTGTATAGTTGTTTTTTTTTTTCATTAATCCTTTGAATGGACTTTAATAATGCGTTTGTATTTGGTTAACTGAAATATTTATTCCGGTTTCACTAATTGATTTATTGTTTTATAGATTTGACATCGTTCTTTAATCGTACCCAAAAATTACGCTCATATGCATAGATGTCAGCATAATTTATCTCGACGTCGCAGGATTGATTATTACTTGCAACAGAGGCGAAAGTTTCGACGTTTTTCTAGAGTTGGAGTTCGTCATACACCCTGTTGGTCGACAGTGTCTGTATCTTCCCCTGCATTGACGTCTTCAAGCAGTGTCGGATCGAAAGAGGTACACTTTTATATGGGTTAGTTGATTACGTTAACATGTGATTATTATATTGTGTAATGTGCTTGGTGATTCGTATGGTGCCCCAATGTGGTTGTTCACGTAGTCCTTAGATGGGTGATTCTGTGGCTTGGTCTGAGATGACACACAGATTTCTGGTCTGTTATCTGAGCGGGCCAAAACTTCACATGGTACTGCAATAAAAACAGCTGATTACCAAAATGTTGGACGACATATCATCATTGGCTGGCAGGAAACTCAAAGTGACACAATTAGCCTCTAAGTTCTTTCGCCTGCGAAAACTTTATCAAGCATGGCGGAAATTGCTGCAACACAACAGGATCGGGTGGGATCAAGAGTCACAAAGTCCAACGTGTCCCGTTGAGGTTTGGCAAGAATATGTCAAGGTAAATATATTTTTTAACATTATTATCAACGTCATTGTAATATACGCATTTTTCGGACTGCTAAAATATTAATATATATTCGTTAACTCATCAGCAAAACCCATGGCGCAACAATTTTACCACCAAGGGACTTCCCACAAGGAACTTTATGAAATAATATTTGAGAAGCAAACTGCCACTGGAAGATATGCGTACACATCTACATCCCAACAGGTGGAGGCTTCCAGTTATTCCAATCCCGGCTCGGTTCCTATGGATGATAGCGACTTTGAACCTGATCCTGATCGTTTGACAGGGGAAAAACGGCCAAACATATCTGGTCATGGAGGAGCGAGAAATCGGAGGCATAGAAGGGGGCCCGGACATACAATTGCGGATGCCATTTATAGCTTGACGGATGGCTTGCGGAAAAGCGGACATGGGATCCAGGGCTTCGATCGTCCTAGAGATGAGGGGAAGAAGCGAACACCAGTGCTCCATTGATCCTTTCTCCATGAGCAATTGTATTGACATCATGACGGCCATGCAAGTACCGACACAGTTTTTCCTGCCGACTGTCACGTACTTATATGAAAATCCAGGGTGGCGCGAGATATTTGTGAAACTCCCACTGGACGAAAGGGCTAACTGGATTCAAAAAAACTTTTTCAATAATTCGTAGATGACACTATATTTCATAATTGTTGGCAACAATTTGTATGCGTCAGTGGGCAGTTGTCATTACAATTACAATTTATAACGTTACTGTATGAACTTATTTATGTGATATTGTATGTGAAACACTGTTTTGATTGTCATTGCAATTAAATATGACTGTTATATTTTTCAAAGTAGTACAACAACTATTAATTGTTGATAAATGTTTTGCAATGTGTAGGTTTAAATGGCGTCGTCTAGCCGTACAGGAAGAAGACAACGTGCTAAGATGAGAGGGACGAAGAAGAAATACTGACAGATATAGCCATTGCACTATGCGGTGTTGCCGCGTTAGAAGCAAGTCGACCTCAACCACGACATACATCTGTATTAACTGGTCATCAGTACATGTTGGAAGTACTCAACGGTCATCCTGACAGGATCTATGACAAGTGCCGCATGGACAGAGATGTTTTACATTGTTATGTGAATTTTGTTCGATCAAGGCAAATTGCAACCAACAGGAGGACGAGGTTAGAAGAACAAGTTATGATATTTCTAACAATCGTTGGAAAAAATGAGACAATCAGAACGATGATGGAGGATTTCAACATTCGGGTGAGACGATTTCTAGACATGTTACCGCAGTTTGCGATGCATATGTGAGTTGAAGACAGAGTTTATCAGACCACCTGACTCAATGATGTTCCATGGGAAATATCAGCCAACAGAAAATATACCCTTTCTTTAGGTACTGGTTCATTATATGTTGGTATTAGTAGATAGTTAAGTTCATTGTATTATTAAATTGTTTAGTAGGTTAATATTAGTGAAATGACTCATTTTCATGATAGGACTGTATTGGAGCCATAGATGGCACACATGTATACGCTTCGGTTCCACGTGAATTTGCCATTAGGTACCGGAATCGCAAAGGATCGATGTCACAGAATAATGGCTGTATGCGACTTTAACATGATGTCACTTATGTCGTTACTGGATGGGAAGGATCAGCGCATGATTCAAGAGTTTTAATTCAATTATTGATGATCCTAATTCTGGATTCCCATATCCTCACCAGGTATAAGTATTTTCTTGACGTATTACAGCGTATTACATCCACTGTTGAGGCCCTGTAATTCAAATAAAATGTCTGAATTATTACAGGGAATACTATTTGGTTGATGCGGGTTATGCAAATAGGGATGGGTTCCTCGCCCCTCATAGGCAAGTGGCTTAACATATTCTGATCACCGCCGTAACCGAAGGGGGCCACAAGAGTTGTTTAATTACAGACATGCTTCACTCCGCAATGTTATCGAGAGAACCTTTGGTGTTTTGAAAAAACGGTTCCGTATTCTAAATGGAATGACAATTATCCGTTGGACAAACAAGGGAAGATTGTCATGGCATGTTGTGTACTTCATAATTTTATAAGAATGTACAATATGGACGACCGTATCTTCGAACAAACCAATAATAGTATGGGTATGAGCAAGCATTGTGATCATCAAAACGGGGCAGAATATGGCGGAAATGGAGAAGGATCGAGTCAACCGAACAAGGTATATAGAAAACATGATGACTGTACGGGATAACATAACGAATGCACTGTGGGTAGCACAGTGGACCATGTCATAGTTGTTTACTGGAGTAAAGTTGTTAAAAGATTGTAAGGGTTGATAATTAGTATTTTTGTCATATATGTATTAATGTGATGTTTTTAAACTGTTGGATTACTACTTGAAATTAATATGGGTTTTTGTTTTTTAATATATACGGGTAACAAAATTATCAATAAAATATTTAGTATTATTAAAATGTGAGGTGATAAGTTATATATATATAATAATACATTATTTTAACAAAATACAATAAAATATTTTATTAATAAATCATTTATAAACAAATATATTAATCAAATATTTAACACAAATATCAAGATCAAAATAATCTACCAAACACATATTCTGAAAATCATATTCTCGTAATCATAACCCTATCCAACTATCCAATACTATCCTCAAAATCCTACCCAAAATACTAAACCAAACGCACCCACAGAGACTTCTTGGGGGGGATTAGCAAATGAAAGCCCTCCAAAAGTGGGTTTCAGGTATTGACAAATGACAATTGAAAGAGAGAGAGAAAGAGAAAGACTAGAAGGAAAGCAAAAAGTAATCTTTTTTTACTACAACAAAGAAAAAGGACAAATTGAAACGTGAATAGTGTAACAAGAAAAATAATTTAAGCAACATGGTGTAATGATATTATGAAAGATTATGAAGCTAAAAGAAAAATTAAAATATCGGAGAGTATTACTTATATTTAAGGGTGTTCATAACCTGTTAACCACTTTTTTTTAACCAAACCGGTTTTCGGTTCAAGAATTTTCATGAACCGAAACCAAACCGGTTTTCTTTTTAACTTATTTTCCATTTTGTTTTCAATTTCCATATGATTATGTTCCTTACCTTACTTGGTCTCACACGAAATTCTAAAATCTATGTTTGTGTGTGAAAAAAAAAAGGAAGAGAAATACGTAAAGCGTGAAAAGTAAAGAGAAATAGATTTGAGAATTTAGGGTTTTTTAATTTTAAAATAAAAACTGGTTTCGGTTAATCGGTTTATAAATTCCTTAAACTGATAACCAAACCAGAAATTAACTTTATGTATTTCTTTGAACTAAAATCAAACTGGTTTTTTGGATAACAAGAAAATCGGTTCGGTTATCGGTTTAATTCGGTTTCTGTATTTTTTTAATACCCTTACTTATGTCACCTATAAATCATCGTCACAATCGAGATCAATTATGGAGATAAGCTAATAAAAAAATTTGCAGCTATAATATCACAATCCCAAAATGCGAAGGAATTATAAGTCGTAAAATATAAAGTAATTAGAATGGAATTATTTTTAATGTATATTAACAGAAAGTACAAGGTAATCTCTTATAGCTTTCCCCACAACTCTAAAGAGTTACCGCTCATAGTTCTCCTAGCTTTGGCAGTACTCTGAATAGTTACTAAACGCAAAGAGCCGTTTAATGGATCCCACACAAACGCACTCCAGTATGGCAATAATGAAGGGAAATAGTTACCGTTCGTCGTTCTCAAACTGTCCCACACTACAGTATCCACCGACAAATAATGTTGAAAAATATCGACCATTTACTAGAATTATCTTAGGTGTACTGTTACTTCTTCATGTTCTATATATCAACCACGGTACCACTTTGTTTGTGGCTGGATAACAAAACTTAAGATTATTAAGTGGTTTTATGTTTAAGTTTCACTAAAAGTGATCATTTATCACATTTATAACTTATTTAATTTATTAAATCTGTAGGGTGTTAAATAAAATCCAAGAATTAATTAAGATATATATAAACTGTCCGGATACCTCGGTCACAAAAAATAAAAAACATACAAGAAGGATGGATGATGGATATCACAAACTTCAATTGTTTCTAGCCAAGAAAATAATTCAGAATAGAATTTTTAGACTCAATTAACACGAAAATCTTCTTCAAACCAAACCAAAACGTACAGGTCGGCTTGGTCTGCTTCAGCTTTTTGAGTATTTTTACACACCCCTACTTGCAGCTCAAACTGTTTTCAGTCGTCGTCTATAATAGCCGTAATTTTATTGATGAAGAATGAAGTGAATTTCATCAAACCTGAAATCATGAACAAACCTGATTGATGGAATCCGTGTATATAACAGCAGCTAGCATCGGAGAGGTTGCATAGAACCGCAATATTTGATTCCTGTGCTTGACACTTGACAAAGGTTTCAGCCTTATTTCTCTGACACATGTAAAAGGTTTCATTTGGCTCTAAAGATGATCAGCAGTCTAAATTGTTTTGGTGGATATATATTACAGAAAATTCAGAAACTAATAACAGGAAAATAAATGTGTATTGTTGTTATTTTCAAATAAATGATCATGGCTACCTAATTCTGAGCACAAAAAAGAAAGGAATCAAGACTAATTAGGTCAATGGGGGTAGGTGATCATGTGATTGAGTTTTGGAGGTAGAAAAAGGGAGAAGCAAGTGGAGCCACTAACACTAAAGATTTAAGTGTACTAGGACCACAATAAAGCAAAACGAATTTTTTGATCCACCTAATGAGTTCATTGCAAGTGTACTAGGACCAGTTACACATTCACATATGAATAAAATCCTAACATCAAATGGAGACGCAACATGTGTATATAAATATCTGGTTGGGCATGCATGTGTCATCACACAGACAATGAGTGTAGTGACACTAGCAAAACTTAAAACGACTGCATGTGCATTAACAAAGCGATGTCATGACATCAAAAATCAGTGTTACCACAATGAATTCATCATTTGACAAAAATACTTACATAAAGCATTGTAAAACAAGTAGAATTATCGGGTGAAAGATGAACATGATGGTAGCAAATGATATAAAGCAAGATAGTTCTAAAAGGACTTCAGCAGAAAGAAAGCATTGACTACATTTGAAATTTTCTCTCCAGTTGTTAAGTTGACTACAATAAAAATAGTACTTAGGTTAGTGGAATAAGAAGACCTTTATCTGAGCCATTATATGTAAAGACGACGTTCCTTCATGGAGAACTGGATCAAAAAATTTATATACAGTAGCCATGAGGTTCTTAAATACAAGGAAAGAAGAGAATGGTGTGCAAACTTCAAAAGAGCCTATATGGGCTAAAACAGGTGCCTAGACAATGGTACAAGAAGTTTGATGGGTTTATGTGTAGTAATGATTTCCTAACATGCCAAGCAGACCAGTGCTGTTACTTCAAAAAACTTGGTAATTCCTATATCATCTTATTACTCTATGTAGATGACATGTTGATTACAAGGGCTTGTAAACAAGAAATAGACAAGTTAAAAAGGCAATTGTCAAAAGAGTTTGCTAAGAAGGATTTGGGAGTTGCAAAACAAATCCTTGGTATGAGGATTAACAGAGATAGATCGAAAGGTTTCTTGAAGCTATCATAAGAAGAGTATGTGAAGAAAGTACTCAATAGGCTCAACATGGATGGAGCAAAGCCAGTAAGCACCCATTTGGCTAGCCATTTTAAACTATCCAAAGATTAGTTATCTATAACAGAGCATGAGCGAGACTATATTGCTAAGGTACCCTATGCATCAACAATCAGTAGTCTTATGTATGCCATGGTGCGTACAAGGCTAGACATAGCCCATACAGTGGGAGTTGTGAATAGGTACATGAGCAAACCAGGAAAGCAATATTGGGAAGTAATAAAATGGATTGTTAGATATTTGAAAGGTACTACAGATTCAACATTATGCTTTAGGAAGTCAAAGTTAGAGCTACAAGATTATGTGGGTGCTAATATGGCTGGTGACATTGATAATTGCAAGAGTACCACAGGTTATGTCTTTACATTAGGTGGGACAACAATCAATTGGGTTTCAAAGTTATAGAAAATTGTTTCTCTCTCTATTACAGAGGCAGAGTATGTTGCTATGATAGAGGCTATTAAGGAGCTAATATGGTTATAGCGGGTCCTAGAAGAATTGAATCAGAATTATGAAAAGAGCGTTTTGTATTGTGATAGCCAAAGCACAATTCACCTAGTAAAGAACCCAGTCTACCACGCTAGGACAAAACACATAGAAGTTCGATACCACTTCACATGCTCAGTTTTGTAATAATAAGTTATAGCTCTCGAGAAGATTCAATTGAGTAAACGTCCAGCTAATATGTTTACAAAAGTGGTTACCATTGAAAAACTGAAGTTGTGTACAACTTCAGTTGGACTTCTCACTTGAAGAAAGAGAAGTTGATGCCGCTGTTGATGGAAGTGAAGAATCGAAAACATTTGTTGAATTAGTCTTTTAGTGGGAGATTGTTGAGATTTTGGAGTCAAAGTCAATCCAAATTAATATTGGGTTAGGACATGGGTTTTCCTAATATGTTTTTATGTAGAATTGTTTTTCCTTTAGATATACAATTAGGAATAGGATTATAATTGTATTAAGAGTTAAAATAAAATTCCTATTAGGATATGAGATTTGAGTCCTATTAGGAACAGTATCTCATGTATTACATATAAAAACGGGTTAAGTCTTGGAGTTAAACAGCACAAAGTGAGAGCCACCAAAGAGTGTTTATTTATTGAGCCAGTTTATGAGGCTTGTGAGAGACATTTGTAATTTTCTTCTTCATCTTCATAGTGAAATTTCATAACGACAAAGCGTATGTATCTCTCATATGGAGAGCGAACCACTATAAATCTTGTGTTTTTTTGTGTGTTTATTTGTTTGTCCTTTATTCGCATTCTTTAATTTTTGCTTTCATAGAGATTTAAGATTTGCTAGTATCTAATTAAATTCCCACAACAGTTTACATATTTATCGTTGAATTTTCTTAAGATTGTAAAGATAACTTGTGATTAGGAAAAAATGTCACAACAGTCATTTTTTACAATGAATTTGTAAGAACAAACGATGAAGTTGTAGCAGTTAATAATAATGATCAACAACTGAGTATGATTGTTTTAATATTGATTAGCATTGATTTTACCAAAAGATAACAATAAATTTATCTACAAATAATTTTTGTATCCTAACTATGTGATATTTGATTATTTGGCAACATCTTTTTAGTTAAAAGACGAGGCAATGAACTAATTTAATTATAGGATAAGCTAAATCACTTATCTCATCATTCTATAATTAAAGAGATATTGATAAATCAATGACAAATATTCCAGTCATATTGTAGTAAAATCCTATATTTGCACTATTAAAAATACTCTAAAAGTATCTCTCATAAGAAAAAAAAAAAATCAATCAAATCCTCAAATTAAATCACTCCTTAGTAAGATCCATCACCATTACATGTAAATCGTAAACATGTATTAAGAAAATCAAAATACAAACACAATGATTGTATCTATAATTTTTAACAATTTTAGAGTATCATATCACGTAAAAATTACTAAATTAATACAAATTAAGCCATATGGTTGTGTTTGTTTTGTTATTCATATCGTATTCTATTCATTGTTTTAAAAACCAAACCGGAGGGTAACTCGCTTTGACGGTCGGGTCACGGTTCAACCGGTCCAACCAATTGAACCGTCGGTTGGACCGGTGATGTCATCACACATCATGATATATACATTAAACAGCAAGGCTAGCTCCTAGTATCTGCAAGTTTTTCTCTTCTCTTGTTGTATATTTTAGTATTTCTCTCTTCAAAAATATTTTAAGAAGTAAATCCCACCTAAAATATAAGACTGATATGTATAATATGTATATAATTTCCATTTTTTTCCTCTCATTCATTTAGTATATAACTATATATAAAAATTATAATACAGTACTAACATTATAAATACTATAGCTAACTTAAAAAGGTTTATAAGATCGCTAAGTTATAATTGAACAAATGAAACGTTTACAATATGATTAGGTTTCCAGGACTTTCAATCTAAAAAAATTACAACATCTGTCTAAAACTTGAAAAACACGTACTAAACATGCACTAAGCAATGAAAAGTGGTGGGGTGCTCATGTAAACCAGCTATTTTGCTATCTTAAGAAAAGAGATCAATCTCCTAACAATTAATTGTTCATAAAGGATCTCTTTCCTATTCGGCTCATGTCATCTTCAACCCAACTAATCACCATTTAGACATCAATTAATTAGTAGAAATAATCAGAGATTTTGCGAATACAGTCAAAACTCAAAAGTTCCATATCCAGCCACAGCCAAGCCTACACAGAATACTACGATTACAGTCAAAAGTTCCATATCCAACCACAGCCAAGCCTACACAGAATACTACAATTACAGTCAAAAGTTTTATGAAGAACAAATGACTAAAACCAAGCCGCATTAATTATTGCTCCAGATTAAGTTTGCATCATTATAAAAAGGTTTTACTGCATTTACCAAATGCTTATCCAAAAACCACAAGCTATGAATCACGAAATTATCCATACACAGACACAACCAAGAACCACTCACAACAATGGCCTCACTCTCTTCATCTCCTTCCCCATTTATGTGATTCTGTCCTCTTCTAAAACCCTTAAAACCCTCTCAAAAAAGTCAACTATGTGATCGAAGAATGGCTAGCTAGGTCGAGGAACAAAGTTGTCATCAATGAATGGAGCTGTCGCCGTCGATTTCTAGCGAGGAACGTAGCTGTCGTTGTTGATTCTAGCTAGGGAGGCAGACATCGTCGTCAATTTCAGAGAGCTCAGATGCGATTTGGGTGGGATTTCAGAGATAAATTTTCACAAAGAACAGACAACACACACAGACGAAGCTGATAAATTTTCGAAGAGAAGAGAGAAGAAGCTGAGAAAATTTCGTAAGAAACTGAGAAAATTTTCATAAGAAACTTGAGAAAATTTTCGTAAGAAGCTGAGAAGGAGTGAAAGAGAAGAACTGAACGCGATGAAAAGGTTTTCGTGTATTAGGGATTTTTAGATTTGGACCGGTTTATCCGCCGGTCTGATTGGACCGACGATTCGCTGCAAATATCCGGTTTTCAAATGGTTTAAAATGGTCTATTGTATTATAACGGTTTTAATATTGAACCGAACCGGACACATGATCGATTCACAGTCCAACTGGTTGGACCGGCCGGTCCGGTCCGGCTTTTAAAATAATGATTCTATTCCTGTCCTACCCAAATTACATATTAGTCTCAATATTCTCAAAATCCAATTATATTCTATTCAATTTTTTAACCCCCTAGGTTTGTTAATTTAGCTAAACACCCCCTACAATAAAATATTAAAAATTAACAAAAACACCCCTACCCACCCATCAAATGTCAGCCACCATCACTGGAGGGTGACTGGAAGTCACCGAAATGGTGCATAACCAGTTGGATCTGGCCGGTCGGGCAGCGATCTAACCTTTTTTGAAGGCCAGATCTTTGGTTAACAACCAGATCTGGCCGTAGATCCGGCCTTTTT